CTATTAGTAGCAGGCGGGGCAAGCCAAGCAGGCCAGCATACAGCACCCAACACACGCGCGGACCAACAGCACGAGAAATAAAAGAAAGAAGAGGCACGCGTTAACAAAATGCCTAATGTAGAGTTGTATGAGGCGGCGCCCGTCCGTGGGGTGTGGGCGGCCCTCTCATGCAGTCTGTGCCCCGCCCGCACACACCACGCCCGCGTCGGCTTGCCACGCCCATACGTGAGTGAGAGACTGCAGGTGAAGGAGCAGAGGGCGCGGCGGTCGGGCGGGTGGGTGGCGTGTGCGGGGACGGGCGCCGCCCAGTGCAGGTCAGAGTGTGGGCGCACGTCACAGTACAGTGGGTGGGCCCAGGCCGCATGCAGCTGCGCCCTGGAAGAGACGCATTAAGGGGCGCCGCCCCCGCCAGCAGGAGGCCCCCCGGGCACGGCACTGGTGAGTGAGTGAGGGCGGCACTTCCGGCGCCGAGTGAATCCTTGGGCGGGGGCCGTGGGGCCTCCAGGGGGCGGGGGCGGCGTCAGGCACGTTCCGGGCGTGCCGGTGGTCGTGAGGAAAGAGAGAGAGAGAGAAAGAGAGAGAGGGGGTGGGCACAGGAGGCAGGGAAGGGGCAGGGTGACCCGCCGGCGGAGGCAGCGGGGGGAAGGAAGGTCACGACCATGGCACCCGCGGCCACTAGCGAAAGACGACTCCGGCACTTACCGTCTTCCAGCACTCTAGACTACCCTTCGTGTATGTCACAACCTCCCTGGACATGTACTTTGCTACCCGGACATGACGGAACATAATGGGCATGTACCAAAACTAAATCCAAGGACATGATGCGTCTATGTACAGATACATCACGAGAACGGGACACGGACACAATAGACACAATGTCACAGTATTTTCCAACACACTCCCATGAATCATACAGGAACCACTTTACAACAGCTGGCGGGGCCTGAAAAGCGTCGTTCATTGCCATCTGTCCATTACCTATCCTAGTACACTGAAAAAAAAGGGGGGGTGGGGGCTATTCCATGACCTATCCACAGCTCGGAACGCAGGAAGACACAAGCACCCTGGCGGCGAATTCCTCAACCACCAATCATCACGACAAATCATTTCCCTTCTCTTTTCCTATCCTTTGAGTGTGATATCCGTTTTCGAAGCTTTCCTCTTTTATCTCTTGTTTCCAATTCTCCATTCTTTCGTATCATCCTTCGCTATTTCTGAACAACAAATTAACCATTAAGAATTCACGCAACCTCCTGCCATTATTGCACTTTTCTCTTTATCAATCCTCTAACCTTGGAATTCATTTTCCACGCCCTAATCAATCTAATTTCCATTTCAGCTTTCCTCTGCGTTATTCCCGTTGCCATCCTACGAAATCTCGGCGAAGCAGAAACCGTGCAATGCAGCAGAGAAAACCGTGGAGAAATGGCGCCGAAAAAGGACCAACAGACAGACGACGGAGAGAACGGCAAAGACTTCAGCGAACCAGAGCGTACGCGCCTCCAATCATCAAGAGAAAAAGTTGATGCGTCGTGAGATAAGGAGAAGAAAAAAAAGGATTTGCTCCTCCATTTACGAACGCAGGAGACCTCTGGAAATACTCAACGCTGGACGACAACCCTCCCCCCCTCCCCCCCCTCCCACCCTGGTCAGCTGGTCTCAACAACGAGGGCGCCATCCATTCGCCCCGAAGACAATCTCGTTTCCCCGTTTCCTCTCCTTCCCTCCTTCATCCCCTTCCTCGTCACGTTTCCCATATTAATCCTCGACGATTATTTGCTCATTATGCCAAACGTCACATATTCCAATACATTCGTTAGACGAGATAAATCATAACGTGCAAAAGCTACATCGAAAACGTATACTGATGAAGGTAAAACCACAAATCTAGTAAATTACCAATGACCTAATTTAAACCTGGGAACGTAATGTCACATTTGGCAACCTGTAAACAAATCACAGGTTCCCCATGAACGACAGGCGGTAATTTTTTTTCTCTCCCGTCCCAATTCCCCCAAAAGATAAAGAGGAAGAGGGAATGAGGGAAGGTGAGGAGGATGGGTGGAGGAATAAAGAGGGATAGGGAAGAGGAGAGGGATAGGGATAGAGAGAGGGAAGATGGAGGGGAGGGGAGAGGGAGGGAAGGAGGGAGAGAGGGAGAGGGAGAGGAGAACGAGAGAGAGAGAGAGAGAGAGAGAGGAGAGAGAGAGAGAGAGAGAGAGAGAGAGAGAGAGAGAGAGAGAGAGAGAGAGAGAGAGAGAGTGAGTGAGTGGTGAGAGGAGAGTGAGAGTGAGAGAGAGAGAGAGAGAGAGAGAGAGAGAGAGAGAGAGAGAGAGAGAGAGAGAGAGAGAGAGAGAGAGAGAGAGAGAGAGAGAGAGAGAGAGACAGGCAATTCCCCTATTCCTTTTCACTTCCTCCATCCTTTTCCTCTCTCCTTCGGCCTTATTCTCTTCCCCTCCTCCCTTCTCTTCATACTCCCCATCTCCCATCACCCCCCCCTCCCCCCTACTTCCTCCCCCATCCTCCTCCTCTTCCTCGACCCCCCTCTCCACCTTCCCCTCCTCCCTACCCCCACCTACTCCTCCCCTCCTCCCCCCCTCCCCCACCCCCCTCCTCCTCCACCCCCACCTACTCCTCTTCCTTCCGCACACACAAGGCCCGCGCGAGAGATATGCTTTCGGGCCAGAGTCAATCTCTAAATGCCCCTCATCTGCATACTAAATTAGGTCGGTATTCATTTGCGCTCGAAAAGGTTACACTTTCCCTCACACTTCATTTACCTCGGGTGTCGGAGAATGGATGCAAATGTCCTTTCGGTCTAAACGCGCATTACAAAGTTTTCTCGCGGCGAAAATAAAATCTTCGTGTGCATTTTGGCGATGTATTCTCGCTGCGGAGGGATACGCACGTAGATGATAATGTATTTTTCTGTTTTTTGTCTTCTTTTTTTTTTTTTTTTTTTTCTTTTTTTTTTTTGGGGGGGTTCTCTCTGCTCCGTGGCGAGGTCCCGTTGGTAAGGGGAAAAAATAACGAGTAAGAAAATGGAGGAGAAGAAGAGGAGGGAAAAAATTCCCAATCTACATGTCCCTTTTCCTTTGTTCCTCGCTCCGTCTCTTTCTCTCTTTGTCTATCGTCTACACCTGCGCCCTTGTCCGCCATCACATCTACTGCACACACACACACACACATACACGTGTACATACACACACGCACGCGCCGACAGCCATACGGACAGACACACACACACGGCAAACAAAAATTCCACCATGCACGTATTTGTACATCATTAGCTAATGTTATGTCTAATATGGTCACTTTTCGCTTTTCTAAAACTGTCTATTAATATTTCATGATTCTCTTTCCCTTCTTCGTCTCCCATTTTCCCTTTTTCTCCCTTACGCATATTTCCCTTTCATCTGTAATTCTTCTTCCTCCCCTCTTGTGTCCATTCTTATCTTTTATTTGGCGCTCACCCCTTCCTCACCTCCTCCTCCTTCTTTTTCTTTTTCTGAACCCTTCTCCCTTCGTCCTCCTTCTTCTTTGTCCCTCACCTCCTCCTCTTCTCCTCCTCTTCCCCTTCTCCTCCTCCTCCTCGCGCATTCTATTCCCTCCAACTGCTTTTCCATTACGCTTTCTCCCCCTCTTTCCCTCCCCCCCCCCCCTCATCTCCTTTTACACCTGAACCACTATCATTCGACCCCATCCTTCTGCTGACAAATATCCTTCGTTCCTTTCTCGACGGTCTAATTCTACCTACCAGACTGTCCTGTCCTTCCCGTGACCTTCCTCTCACTCCCCCCCTACCCCAACCCCCCACCTCTCTTCGCCCTCCCTGCCTCGTCCTTTCAGCAGGAGAAAGCAGCAAGTGAACAGATATATGGGCACGCATCGCCTGTCCCCGTCTGTACGATTCCCTCCCTCTCTCTCTCTCCCTACCCTCCCTCCTTCCTCCCCCGCCCGCCCGCCCCCTCCCTCCCTCCCTCCCTCCCCCTCCCCATGGCCTGGTATACTCAAGCCATTAACTGTAATGACTCCCAACATCACCGGATGCATCGCCTCCTCTCCTCTCCTCTCCTCTCTTCTCTCTGTGTCTCTATCTACCTCTCTTTTGTCTCATTATTCCACCTCTTCCTTCTCACAATCTCCCCCTCCCCCTTCCTGCACTATTCCCCTATCCCCTACTTTCTCCTCCCTCCTTCCCCTCCACCGAACGGCCCTTTTCCTACCTCACGACCTACTTATCTGCTTCATTATCTCCTAACCTCATTACTCCCTGCGCCACCTTATCCTTGCCCGCCTTGGCCGCGCGGGGTGGCCGCCTCGCGCCCTTTCGCCGCTCCTAAAGGCCGCCCGCACTATCCTCTCCCGTCCCTCGGGCCCTCTCTCCTCCTACGGCATTCCCTTATCGTTCCCGGTTGGGCCTCCCCTCCGCGCTGGCACTGCGAGGAATGCAGGCTTACCCGAGCGCGCGCGCTCACTCGCCACGCACCCTTGCATGCATGCACGCACGCGTGCACACACACACACATACACACACATTTATAATGTGTGTGTGTGTGTGTGTGTGTGTGTGTGTGTGTGTGTGTGTGTGTGTGTGTGTGTGTGTGTGTGTGTGTGTGTGTGTGTGTGTGCACGAATATATATAAACAAACAGATATAAACACATGCACTGCTTTTTCTTTCAAAGGTTAACAGCCGGTTGTAAATGTTTATAAAAACATCACTATTTGTATATTTGAAATGTGCGCAAACACATTTATCTTTAATGTCCACAAACACATTCTCGCGTTCCGACTACACGGTGTACACGCTGTGCACACGGCCCGGGCGGCGGCGGCGGCGGCGGCGGCGTCGGCGGCGGCGCACACCGACGCGCCCTCGCCGACGCCCGCCAAAGGCCCGCCGACGTCGGGGCCAAAAACAACAGATCCTTCCCCTCCTCTCTCCCTTAGGACCTCAGGACCTTCCTCGCCCTGGGACTCCTTCACCCTCGCTGCAAC